TTTCATCCTCGTCAAAACATGCAATCATGCTACCATTACTTTCAAAAACACCATAATCTCCTTCTCCCATGTCAAGGCTCCTGATGTGCTCACCATCTTCCCTGCATAGAAAAAGTTTACCGTTTTGTTGTTCCATAAAGAGAAATTCGCTATCACACACATCTATTACCGACAAAAAAGGTTTCTCGTTAAGGAATTTTCCTTCAAAGTCAAAAATCTGAGATCTGTTATTATTATCGTCAAACACTGCAACCCTTTCATCTTTGTTATTTATTACGATAAATGAAGGAGCGTTGAACTGTCCTTGCTCTTTCCCTTGTGATCCAAATTGAAACGCAAATTGATACTGGTGCGGAATCACCTGCACAACCCAGGGACTATCAGTCAACGGCTGTCCATTAACTTGGATCTCTAATCTATGTTGTCCAACACACTGCGGTTTATATGTTATTGTGTACATGCCGTCTTTGGTGTCTTCTATCTCTGTTTCCAGTTGATCACCTGCTGGAGTTAAAATGTTGGCTTCAACTTCATCTTCCGCATGATAACACTGCTCTCCATCAGAATTTCTGGTTGCAATGGTGAAATTTGTTACCATTTTCTCTCTGTTCTCTTCGTGGTTTTCGATATTAACTAATGTCATTAAAGGATCTGTTTCACTGGCCACAACACGATCCAAAATCTTCACTTTCCCTTCGACAAGGTAATGTACGTGTGAGGGTTTATAAATTTCAGGTTTACTCGCACTCAGAAGTTCTTCACAGCGTCCAATTATGGCCCGGTTTGTGTGCAGAATTTCAGCACTCATGTTTCTTTCGACGATACTCTCACCTTGTTCAACGCAACTTTTCTGTTGAGAGAGAACCAATTCAAGGGTTTCTAGATGTGTTGCTTGATGTTTTTGTTGTGCTTGATAAATTTCGGCAAACTTGGCCTTCATAGTTTTCTTATGTTCCTGCAATTGACGGATACATTCGTCCACAGCGTCTGTCATCGTATTTTCTGCTGAAATTACTTCGTTCCTACTCTTTTCCATTAACTCAGTTTGCTTCCTTATCTTGTTGTCATAAATTACTGTTTCCGCTTTCACAGGGGTTTCATTGATAAGCATCGGAGATCGGAGAAATCTCCGTCTACCACGCGTTATTATTCTCCGGCTAAATTTCGATGAAGTATGGCTATTTTTTATTCAGACGAATCAGACGTGGATACGTTATGTGAAAAGAAAGTATTCCCTGAAATGCGTAATTCGCTTAGCCACTTGCTTTACATTCCTGAATAAATAACAAATACATAAAAGACCTTATTTAAACGCTAGCAGTTTTAAGCCCTGCAAAACTAACAGAGACACTTTTTTATTTGCAAGCAAAACATTATTAAATGAATAAATACTAATGAAACAAAACGTGAAACAAAATAAAGCACACGATGAACAAATCGTAAGGGCAAAGTTAGGACAAGAAAAGTTACTGTGAAATTCACAAAACCGTGAACACCAGAAATATTTATGGAATCTTATTGTGTTGCGAGAAACGAGTCAATAAGGCAGCTTCTGAGCAACTGTTTGAGAAATTACGGGAAACGTTTTGGAAAATCTCGAGCAACTTTTGGAAAGCCCTAATGGGATCACATGTTGCGCGCGACATCACGATGCCTCGAACAGTTCGGACGGCCTGCCTGTGATGAACGACGCCTTCTTTGGAATCTTAACCTTGCTCCCCCTCGGGCGGGGTTATTGTGATTGGCCATTACACAATCAACATTCCCGAAATTTTTCAGGTGTTCACGGTTTTCTGAGTTTGACAATAAAGCGATAAGAATCCAGTACCTTTTAATATGAATAAAAAGAATGATTTCCTTGTGACGGTAAACATCAATTTATTTCCATAGCAGTTGTAGAAATGACAGAGTATCAAATTACTTTCAAACAAATGCAAATTTTGAGATTTTTCTATTTTAACGATGACTTCTAAAACGCGTAGAGGTATGCACAACCATGCAGTGTTTTTTGTTCGGCAGCTACGAGAAATGAAATTTGCTATCAGACTCAGCAGGGTTTAAAACGCAAAATTTCCAGGTTTGTCTTCAAGCTCCTTCCGGAAAAGTTCTTCGCACTTTCAAAATATTCTCCTGTTACTTTACACTGTTTTCCTGCTACTGCAATTCTTAATGAAACCCCTGATATCACTATCTTTTTAATACACATGCTATTTTATAAATGTAGGCAAATATTAAAAACAGTCGGTTCCACTAAAGGTTTGACTTGTGACTACATTTATGTTTCCACTGTACGTCCATGAAAACCAAACATCTCCGAGGGAACACAGCCGAAGTATCGCCTCTTTAATGATCGGGGTGGGTGAGGTGAGGGAGGAAGTGTTTAACCCTCGTGTTTTAATTTAGAGAGCTCATCGATGGCATCTTTCAAGTCTTGGAAATGATAACTATCGTAATTTCCATAACGGTAATTCCATATTCCTCCCTTCCTCTGGTTAGTTCTGGACGATTTGAACATTGAACGAAACATACAGCTACATTGATAACACTGTCTTATCTCTTCACTATCAATACATTTTCCTGGCCTTAACCGGCCCTCATCAGTAAAATGTTCCCCGCAACAACCGAAGAAACACTTTTCAGTCATCAGCCAAAACAAACACTCTACCATTCCCATAAATTCAGGATATACTTTATCCAAAGCAGTTTCTAGTCGCTTAATCCTTTGCTCCAGGAAATATTGTAAGGTTTCTTGGTCAAGGCCCTTTAAATCAACAATTTCACTTAATGTCGTCAGCTTCAAATTCTTGAGCAAATTGTCGCACTCGTCTCGGACACGGTCAAGGTTGTAATTCGTCGCCATCTTTCGAAGTTTCATCACATTTTGTTTTGTCTTTGGGTGGGTTTCAACGAAATTGATGCAAGCATCAAAGATGTGTTTGATCTGGTACTCGTCGCTTAGCTTTAGAAGATGTTCCACGTTTTCTTCAATGATTTCCACCGGCTCTTCAATAAATTGCTTGGAGTAAACACGCTTTAAGAGATCCAATATTTCATTTGCTTTTTTCCCTGGTAATGGAATCTCGTTAGCGGTTGCTTCTTTGAACTGCGATTTGAACATGGCCTTAAACACTGCTGAGTTCATGCTCATTATGAGGCGATGAACATGAAATTTCTCATCCTCCACCAAAAGAATCAGGTCGCTATCTTCCCACGGTTCAGAAAATCGATGCTTCATTCTTCCTTTGTCATCTTCCGAGCTTCCGTTGCCTACGCCTTCGCTAATTTTTGCCAGACTGGGCTGACTAAGAAAGTTGCTTGCCATCGTTGCCTTAAATTACTATTACGATACAAAAGCGTATTTCTGGTACTAAGAGCAGTAGAGATTTCAACGAGCTCACTTGCTACCCTTGAAAGATTGAAGATCCACGGTTGATTGGCAAGAACAAAAGTGCTTTTAACGATCGCGTCGTTCGATTTAGAAAAGCTGCATGTGCTTATTTGGCATGCTGCATCTTCTGAAGGCCGATACACACGAGGGGTTTTGCTCCCGGAGCACGCTCCAGCGGCACGCTTCGGGAGCAAAGCTCCTCCGTGTGTACCAACGATTTCATGAGTATACTTCATCCTCGGGAGCAGAATTCCACCCCGCAAAATGCTCCACGATATTTAACCGGTTAAATATTTGGGAGCAAGCTCCCGGAGGAAATTGAGCGAACTTGAAAACGCTCCCTCGTGTGTACTGACACATGCAAAATGAGCCTGGAGCATGCTCCGGGAGCAAAACCCCTCGTGTGTATCGGCCTTTAGTTTGTCATTGGTGATGAAAAGAAGGCGCGTCAGTCTCATTGCCAGGGGAAAGGAGAGAACCCTGGGAACAAGGTTCTCTTAGGACACCTGCCTTGTTCCAAGGCCTCATTATAATTCAATTTTTGAAGCAAGGTCGACCAGCTTACAAAAAAGAAGGACTTGGTCGTAATAAAGGATCTAATCAGCAATACGTGAAAATATTAAACAAAAAGAAGGAAGCCTGATTTTACAGTCGGGAATACATATATTTTTCACCAATATTTAGGAAGGAGCGGCCTTCCTTCTTCAGGGTCTTACATACAATGATAAAGTTAAGCTAAGACGTTGTATGTAAGACCCTGAAGAAGGAACGCCTTGCCTTCCGAAATATTGTAGCCTAAGAAAACAGCCGACATTTGGCGACGCTACCACTTGTTTCCCCGCCAAACGACGTCTGAGAAACGAGCGCAGAAATTCCATACTGATGACACGTCACTACCCAGACCTGAGTAGTGCTTCTGATTGGTTGAATCAAATTTCCCACGCGACATGACCAATGAGAAGCACTACCCAGATCTGCATAGTGACGCGTCATCAGTATGGAATTTCTGCGCTCGTTTCTCAGACGTCATTTGGGGGGAAACCAGTGGTAGCGTCGCCAAATGTCGGCTGTTTTCTCAGGCTAGAAATATTGGTAAAAAATGTATGTATTTCCGACTGTAAAATCAGCCTTGCTTCTTCTTATTATAATTGACTAAGAGGAACTGGGGAAAACGCCGCACATGGACTAGGCAAAGGACACCCGTCCACCCGTCCTTTCACATTCGTCCGGAGGGTACCCCTAGGAATTCTTGGTGGAGCTGTGTCCCTCCGTTTTCCAAATCCTGACCCTATTTCAGACCAAAAAAGCCATCTCAGTTTTAAAAGGAATAACACACAAACTGTGGTTACAAACATCAGAAATAACAAACGCATTGTGTAACTGACTGTTATGATATCGAACTTGACGTCTCGTATGCTTCAAAATACATCTTCAGAAGTGACCGTTAACATAAGGTGTAACTAAATTTAAATCAAATAACAAAGTAAGATAAGTAACTAATTAACTTGAAGGAAAAATCAAATAAATGCGACAGATGAGAAAATTATGCAAACTAGTATAAGTAAAGCTTTTTTTCATTTAGGGCTGGTTTTAAATCCCTGATAAGAAGAGTCAGTGGCGGATCCAGGGGAAGGGCTCGGGGGGCCTGGGGCTCCCCCCTTATTTTTAGACCAAAAGGAGGCCCGAAGGGCCGAAAAAAAGTTTTCGGAGGCCGGGCCCCTCCTTATCTCAGGGTCTGGATGACCGGCCCCCCCCTTTATCTGAAGGTCTGGATCCGCCATTGAGACAACCTCGTTCCCAGGGCTTTTCCCATTGAAATTGGGAGGGGAAAAGCCCTGGGGACGAGGTTGCCATTGAGAGTCTCCTTGATTTTACAATGGGTATCTGATTTTCCTCTTGCTAAAATGTCAAAATGGTCCCATTTCAAATTGTGACCAGTTGATGCGACGTTTTCTCAACCGTTCTCAAATGTCCAAAGGCAATCACTAGTAACGGTCATTCATCAGCTATTGCAGATCACGTCACTTCATCTGGTCATTACTTAGATTAGAGCGCAAAGAAACAATTTTTTCAAATCCATTTCGAATTCGAATATTTCTCTTTCTTTCTTTCTCATTTCTCATTTAGAGTTGAAACGATAAATACGTTCATACACTCCCGTAGTTCCCTCAAAAATCATACCCGATTCCAGACCAAAACGGGAAAAGTGTGTACCCGTTTCCAGTCCAAAACGGCGCAAAATCCCCGAGGAGGATTCCGCACATGAAAGGGGTGGGGATGCTCGTCGGAAATTTTGAATTAAACCCCTAAAGGAGACCGATCTGGGCGTGACCCAAGTTTTTTTTTACCCCTACTGAAAAGAGACCATGTTAAAACACAGACAATATAATATTTTTATATTTTTTCACGTGCAACTTTAAACAAGACCTTCACGGCTAAATATGATGGCGTTTTGCCCAGAACACCCTAAGTGAAACCAAAATCCGAAATTTACACCCCGCAGCCGGCGAGACCACGAGCATTCCCACCCCTTTCATATGCGGAGTCCATCCCCCGGGGCAAAAACGCTCCCCGATGGGGCGCCACATACCTACAAAGCTCATATAAGGGAGTACCCCCTCGGGTTTCCTGTGTGGAAAATAATAGAAGGACAAGGGTGGAATCCTTGTTTAAAAAGGGCTCCTTCCATTATAAGGAACAGTAAACGGCGAACTCAAACTCATTCAAAATCGCTCAAAAAACCGCTATTGAGGCAAAGGAACGACTAGATACCACAGGTAAGGTAATTCAATGTTTATTTATCGTTGATTTATATACATAGTTAGCGATATATCGCTATAGGTGAAGCAAACGGTAAATCCAGTACATTTACTATAAAATAACAATCGGCTACACAAACAGATTGTGTGGGTGCCCTGTGGTGCGTACTCAATTTAAACCAACTGAGACGTTTCAATATACTCAGTTTAAATCCTGTCACCCACAAGGAAATAGAAAAAGGCTTCATTAAAGGAGAGGCTCTAAGACTTCTCAGAACAAACTCTTCTAAAATAATATTTGAAGAGAAAATTACAAACTTTCAAATCACATCTGCTACAGAGAGGTTACCCAGAGGATCTCATTAACACAACCCTTTCATAGCACTGTTTCAAAGACAGGAAACTAGCCCTTCAACAGAAACAAAGGAGAAACCTATGAATCTTGCCTTTTGTCACACAATACCAACCATCAGTGCTTATACTAAAGCAAATTCTCGAGAAAAACCATTAATGAGCGAAATCTACAAAAATCCGCCCCTCATATCGTACAAAAGAGGGCGGTCGTTCAAAGACATACTCGTGAGAGCCAAACTATGAAAAAGGCCATTTTAAACACGCGCTGGGGAGTCGTGTAGGCATTTTACACTTCCCTTCCTTCCCCTTTTAGCCTGCATAGCAAGCGTTTCCTCGCGAGTTCGTCGACAAAGTTGGGCCGAGAGCAAAAAAAAAAACAGGAATGAGGGGGAGGGGGAAGGGAGCGAAGGAAACGCTTGCCCGCAAACCCCACGATTTTGAAAAGCGTTTCCTTTTCTCCCCTCCCCCTCCCCCTTCCATTTTTTTTTTGCTCCCGCTATAACTATACGCTACAACAGGGTCCACGATGTTTTTCAGCGAGAAGTGTCTGTACAATTTGGAGGAGACTGTGCCTACTGGAAACGATTGCTACGCAGGCTATTCCCCTTCCCTTCCGAACGCCTGCCACGCAGGCTACGTCGTTACTGCTTAACTTTTACATTTAAAGAATTTTTAATTTTTAATTTTCACATGTTAAAACATTGTATTCAGGGAGCACGTCTGTTGTCCTCTCATCCACGACTCTTCGTTCATTCATTCATTTTAATCCCAAAACAAAAGATGCAAACCCCTATTCTTTCCTAGCCAATTAGCATCCAGTAACTATGGAAATGCGTGCGATGCGCATTCCAACTCTCTTATGAGGCGTTCACCAGAGATCAAGGAAGGGGTGTAGACAAAACCTGGGCCTAGCCCATGGGCTAGCCCATGGGCTACCCTATGGGCTACCCTATGGGCCACCCCTAATTTAAAAATAAATTTAAAATTATAAATTTAAAATTATAAAATTATAACAAATAAAAAAAATAATAAGAGAAGAAAAAACAGTTGACTCCTTTTTCTACGCACGCGCTGTTCCAACGACGTTTTTTACCCGTCACGACCTCGAGGCACGAAAACGAGGCTTTAGAATCTATATGCAAATTGTTGTGCGTTGCGTGACAATAAAAGGGGGTGGTAGGCCTACACGACTTTTACCTCATGTCAAAATGCTGCTTATTCCAACAAAGTACAACTAAAGTTGCTCCTGCAAAAGCAACTAAGCACAAAGCCAACCCGGCAACTGATGAGGTTCGTGAGGAGAACCGAAACCATGGTCTTGCCTGATCACAAACTGTGGCAATAACAAAACAGTTTAAAGACTGTTAAGCTTATTCAAAGCTATTACCAAGGGAGGAACTACGCGCTCCAGTCAAAAGACTCACACTATCCTTAGAAAAACACTAAGCTGGAGTTTACTGAGTCACAATTCAATTCTCCATAGTAAGTTTATGTAGCTTCAGTTTAAGCTGCAGTTCACTCTTACCAGGTTTGCAAGTAAACCTTAAGGGGTATTGCACTGATTCAGAGGAAGCGCTGCGTCAAGCACTAGCCCAGGTGTTTCCCAACTCCGCATCATTGCTTTGCAAAGTACACGCACAGAAAAACATTGAGGAAAAATGTCGGAAACTTCGGTTTTCCCAGTCGCTGACGAATGAGATAGTTCATGACATTTTTGGCAGTGGGGGTCTAGTATACGCCGACTCCTACGAGGAGTACAACCAAAAGTTAAACTCGTTGACCGAAAAATGGGACCGCAAGGAATTCAAGGACTCACCGGAG